TGTAATTGAATTTTCCTTTGGTGAACCCCTTTGAGCCTTATTGCTTTTTCTTTTTGTAAACCCATGTTACAAGTGTTAAACAGGAAAAACAACATCTTTACCCAAACTTTAGAACTAGTGGAGTATTATTGAATGTCATGAGAAGTGTGGGAATGAAAGAAAATAATTGTGGGGGTATGAAAATTTATGGTAGTGCTATTGTTGGTGAATTGGAACAAATTTTCTATATAAATTCAGGAAGTTCCATTATTGGTGTATAATTTGGAGTTTACATTGTGCGAGAAAAATACAGAAGAAGAAGGAACAAAATGAATGATTGAAAAAAGAAAATAAGTGATAAAGGAGAGTGATTGTAATGTGAAAAAGATCTATATTCATAACTCTTCCTACATCTCAAGAAAGAGTTCAATTTGTGTAGGATAGATGCAAAAATGATGAAACCATCATATGGAGTGGTTGTTTACATGTCTTATGTATATGTTTGAGCTAAGTCTATTTATCTTTACTCCACTAGTTTCGAAACACTTACCTTTTAAACACATGAGAATTGAGAGCTTATATCAGTGAGGATCTACATGTTTGGTTTATTCCATCTTCATATGAAAATGCTAGCTAACTGATTATGAGTTGTGTGAGAATATTTATTTATGTGTTTTAAAGAGTTTGATTGTTCTATGTTCATAGCATTACGACCTGGGTATTTTTGGGGGAATTAAATTTGAGTTTTGCCCGAGGACGAGCAAAAGTTAAATGTGGAGAAATTTGATAGGAATGTAAAATAAATATTTTTCCATCCTTATTTTATGTGTTCGTATGATTATTTTATGTCAAAATATACTTATTAATCTCATATTTTGGTTTAGGTGGCAATTTGATCAATATAGTGTAATTTGGAAGAAATAAGTGGAAAAAGACCAAAATAAAAGAAAACGAAAGTTCGGGGACTAAAGTGCAAAAAATCAAAAGTCATGTCGAACCTCAAAATGAAGATTTGAGAGTGTTAGAGGTTAATTGGATGAAGAAAGAAGTCAAATGAGTGAAATATCATCAAAGTAGGATCACACATCAATTTCCAATCGAAAAGTTATGCATCGGATTTTCAGTATCAGTTTGAGACCCATTTTTGACACATCAAATGATTGAATTGGAAGATGGTATCTGAAGTAACATTGTATGCCTTTAAGTTATCTTTCTAAGACATTTTGAATCAATTCAATCGGATACTTGTGGAGAAACTTATGATCAAAATACCAAATACTGTTCAGAGACAAACCTGCACGAGCGCAGGCAAATTCTCTCGCACCCGCACGGGCATGAATTTTACTCACTGAGCCTAAAACCAATGAACGGCGCATGGGTAAAGAAATATATGGCGCACGTGCATAGGCATTTTTCACAGGCGAATTTCCAATTTTCGAATTTAAGTCAACTACCTATGAAAACAACTATAAATACATATTTTAAAACCCTAGAACGGGGGGAGAACGTACAGAACGCCTCCAAACTCCATTCTTCATTATTTTTCTCATAGATTCATGAATTGTAACTAAACTTTCACACTTGGTCGAAGGAAATTGAAGCCTCGGAACCACACATTGTGAAATCCAAATAGTTTTTCTTATTTTTTAATTCTTATTTTGCGTATTGAATATTCTTTTGCATTTATTTTCATGATTGCTATGTTTAATTGCTAGGAGGCATATTAGTTTGTTATCCGTTATAGTCTACCGCTAAGGTAAATATTAAATCTATAATTGTTTGATCCCTTTAACTTGTGAAGCACTAGGATTTTATGATTTTCTGTGATAGAGATTATTGAATCTTAAGAAGAATGTTTAAATAGATTAAATACAACAGCTGGTGTTTGTGTTATCTAGTTCATCGATTTCTCTATTGTGTAAAACTGTTATTAAATTGAATCTTGAGCGCTGGTCTGGGGTTATTTAATAATTAGGGTTAATTAGAACGCTGGTTTCTAATTAACTAAAATTA